CTGAGATTTAGGGATGAATCGAAAAAAAGCAGCTTGATTGATTTTTTTCTGCGCAAAGGGCCAGCCACTGTTTTTGAAAAAAGTTTGTCGCATAAAAATGCTCAGTTTTGCGCATTTTTGGAAATTTTTTAAATTTTGTCCAATGACTACCACGCCGATTCTGAAGTGTGTGGCTCAATAAAAAAAACATGGTGCTTAGATCTGCTCTGAAAAACCTCTTTCACTTAATCTGAAAGAGTTAAAAGAACACGTTTTAGCAATCTTTCCTGCATAAGGGGCTATTACCATCCCGGGTTGACGTCCATAGAAGAAAAAATGCTTATCATACGGTTTTCATATATGAAGGTCTATGGAAAAAAATGCTTATCATACAATTATCATGCATGAAAATGATAAAATAGTCATTTCGTCATAGAATTTTTTTTTCAAAAATCACCAAAAAAGGTGTTTGGGTAACTTTAAATAGATTTAAATGAGAATATTTATGATAGAGGGCATATTGACAATCAAAAACATAAATTTAATTTCGGTCAGAAAAATGCTTATCATAAAGTTTTCATATATTAAAATTGTATGATGTGCATTTTTTTCATAAACAAAAATAGAAATTTGAGGTAAAAAATTTGTAATCCCTTTTTTGGCTGCAAATTTGCATTTGTGCTAAAATATAAGTTTTAAGAAAAAACAATGCATGCAAAATTTGACATTTTTGAGTTTATAACGTAGTCCCGTGATAAGCTTCTCACCCGAAAAATCCAAAAATTACATGAAAATGTTTTTTTTTGTAAAAGCGATTATTATCTTTGTTTTCATTTGCTAAGATAAAAATCAATTTTTAAAAAAAACAGGCCGTTTTTCTCAACCATCATAATTTTCCAGCTAAAAATTATCTAGCCATATTCAAAAAGTTACTTTTTTGGTATATATTTCCATGTGAAAGGGTTTAAAATTAACTTTTATGGCTAAAACCACTAAATGCAGTTTATCTGCGTAGTAGCTGCCAGCTACACTCTGGGTTTTCTCATGACAAAAAATCCTTGGTTAAATTTCGAAACAAAAATTTTTTGAATTTTCATTTATGGAAAAAATGCTTGTCATACAATTTCATAGTATGGAAAAAATGCTTATCATACAAATTCATATTTTGAAAAAAATGCTTATTTTGCTATTTTTATACATACACTTTTACTCTGTGAAATTGTATGGAAGAGTATGATAAGCATTTTTTTCATATATGAAATTGTATCATAAGCATTTTTTGTCAACCCGGGATGCTTTAAGTATAGAAACTTCGAATAGATTTAGAACAAAATCAAATGTTTGTATTTTGACCGTTTTTAGAAAAATTTTATGCTTTTCTCGAAAACTATCCTGTCAAATTTGAGAAAAAGAAATCAATTTTTAGAACGAGAAGTAGAAAATTTCTCTAAAAGGCGGCTAATAGCTTACTTTAGTAAATAAACAACCATGGTTTTGGAAAAAGTTATGATCATTGTACATGTCCTCCCGCATCAGTATAACCCCTTCCTAAAAACATCAAACAGGTGCCTCCAGCTTTAGCTGGGCTATTAGTTTAATAAGTAAATAGTGAATCTATTTCAGGAGCTGTTGGGAAACTATTTTGATCATTACATAATACTAGACTCTATGAAATTAAAAATCAAAGCTCTCTCCTTTCTGTTTTTTTTATCTTCCTACAATTTGTGAGCTTTGTTTAGATCCAAAGGAAAGCTCGGCATCTGGTGAACTAGAGAACACAATCAAAGGCATCTACAACTTCGGCAAAGTGTGTAACAAAACAGATGCTAAACCAAACAGGACTTGCTACAGAATCGAACCTGACTTATCGACGCGAATCATCCACGAACGAAACATCACCAACTCAAAATGGCTTTATGAGCAGTACCGAAAGGAATTAATCCCCAAAATAAAACCGTTTTGGACTCAATATAGAGCGATTCAAAACAAATGGGCCCAAAAATGGGGTATGGAAATCGCGGTTGATAATTGGGTCAGAAAATATGAGATGTCGTTGGATGATTATCAGAAGGAGTGGGACCACATCTTGTCAAAAATTGGCCCACTTTACAAGAAAATGCATTCCTATTTGAGACATAAGTTAGGACAATTCTATGGGTTTGAGAATGTCGACCCAAAAGGACCAATTCCAGCTCACCTCACTGGAAATTTGTGGAGCCAAAAATTTGATGTGGCTGATATCGTCGAGCCCTATCCAAGCTTGCCCACTGTGGAAACAACGCCCGCTTTGAAAAGAACGTTTGGCGATAATATAACTGCACTTCTAGAGCATTGTATTAACTTCTACAAAGATCTCGGTTTCGACGAGTTGCCGAAGTCGTTCTGGGAGAGGTCCGAGTATGTGGAGCCGAAACCTCCCGCTAAAGCTGATTGTCATGCTTCGGCTCATTCCCTTCCCAACGATGACCTACGACTTTCGATGTGTGGTAAAGTTGACTCGGATACTTACAAGACGTTCATACACGAAATGGGTCACATTTATTACTACCACTACTACAAAAATCAGAGGTACTTGAACAAGGAAGGCGCCAACCCAGGGTTCCATGAAGCTATTGGAGACACATTTCAGTTCCTTGGAGTGGGCATGCCAGAATTGATAAAACACGGATGGATCGCTAAAGAAGTGGCAGAAAATGAAGAAACGTTGCATAAGTTAGAAATTTCGAAACTGATTCAAACGGCTTGTGATGAGCTAATGTTCATCCCAAATGGTATTTTATACGACCAATGGATGGTTGATTATGATCGGAAAAAGATTCCTCGGAACAAACTGAACGCGCATTGGTGGTCGTTAACCTTGAAACTGCAAGGAATTACAACCCCGGACGGAAAACCTAGAGGCGAGGAATATTTTGACGTCGCTGCAAAATATCACGTAGCTAACTTCTACGAAAACTATTCGCGGTATACTCTGGCGAAAGTCTACAAATTCCAATTTCTCAAATCGATGTGCGAGGATCAATTTCAAAGAGGAATTCCGTTGCATAATTGCAACATTTCCGGGAACAAAACAGCCACTGCGAAGTTTCGAGAAATGCTTAGCATGGGATCTTCAAAGCCATGGCCGGAGGCAATGCAAAAAGCTACGGGGCAACCTACTTTGAGTGTTCAGCCGTTGTTAGACTATTTCGCACCTCTGGAAAAGTTCCTGGACAAGTACATCAGTAATAATTCACTTCATCTTGGATGGTGACAGTCATAAATACAATCAAATCGGAAAAGAAAAAAAATTATGGACTTAAATGAAGTACTTACTTTACTGCAATGTAATGCAACTACATTAGATAGAATTAAACTAAATACTAAAACAAATTAAACTACTGGCATTGATTTATTTACTCTTCTTACCTGTAGATTGTATAATGGGCAGTATTAGGTCCGGCTCCAGTAGATAAATTCGGAATTTTCATGCTCGAAGTGTTGTTTTCTGCAGCCAAATATTTACTATCTAAATTCTGAAAGATGCATTGAAACTGAAAATCAAATAGATACTTCAGGTTAATTCTATGTAACGATCTAAGTAACCAATTTTTTTTTCAAATTAGTTGTATAACCATTTGTGGAACTCTACGTAATGGTGTTTAACATACCCTTTTATCAATTTATGTTCATTTTTTTCTAGCGATTTTCCAATAAGTTTCTTGCTTCAATGCGTAGACAAAATAAATTAAACTTAGAGCCGTACGATACTACTTCACAAAAATTATACGACACTCTTACTATCCTGCGAGGAAATTAGCAACAGACAAATAAATACACAGTTTTTTATTATAAGTACAGATAAACTTGATAATTAATCGGTCAATGACTTGATACGTTTGGGTTGATAGCACTGCCAAGAATGTTTAACGGACTTAACAGGCTGAGAAATAATTGTTAAATTGTCTAAGATTTTTTTTAAAATACTGGTCTAAGAAACTTTGAAAGATTTGTAATATTTTTCTTCATATTCTCTTGTTGGTGTTGATTATTTTAAGACAACTCATTGGTTTTCACCTAGGTTCGATCTATATCTTGTTAGGTTTGACCTCAACAACTTCAAAAATTTTTGTTTTTGATTTTGTTTTTGTTTTTGTCTTTGAACATTTGAAAAACGCGACTTGAGAAAAATAAAAAAAAGTCTTTTTTGCCCAGAAACAAAACTTTTTTGATTTGGTGCCAAAAAATTACAAGATTGGTGGAAAAACGAACAAGAAAGTACAGAATATTTGTGCCATCATTTTTTTTCAGACAAACTCGCCATTTTCAATGGCCTCTTTTGACGAGTTTTTTACAATCTGAAAAGTATCCATGCCCTGCGCTTCACGTTGAAAAAAATACTTCGACTGTTACACTTCTCAAAAAAAATGTGGGGTTCAAATGTTTCAATTTGAAATAATTAGAGCGCGAGTTTGGGTTAATTAAACCGAAATGTGTTTCCTTTTTTTGATGCGGATTTCGACCCCCTGCCAAAGGCCCTCCCCCTTATTCAGAAATCCATTGACGAGTTTCTTCCAACCTGATAAGTATCCATGCCCTGCGCTTCGCGTTGAAAAAAAGTACTTCGACTGTTACACTTCTCAATAAAAAAATATTATGAGTTTCAAATAATTTGAGCGCGTGTTTATGTTAACTAAACCGAAGTGTTTTTCGTTCTATTGACGTGGATTTATAGTTGGGGGATTACGCCTCCTCCCCACAGGGCTTCGACCCCCTGCCAAAAGCCCCCCCCTTTGTATTTTTTTGAGAAATCCATTGACGAGTTTTTTACAATCTGAAAAGTATCCATGCCCTGCGCTTCGCGTTGAAAAAAAACGTCGAATGTTACACTTTTCAATGAAAAAATCTATATGGGGTTCAAATGTTTCAAGTTGAAATAATTAGAGCGCGAGTTTGGGTTAATTAAACCGAAATGTTTTTCGTTCTTTGGATGCGGATTTAGTCGGGGGGGGGGGGGGAGTGGCGGACGCCTCCTCGCTCCCCTCAGGGCTTCGATCCCTTGACAAAGCCCCCCCCCCCCACATTTTTACTGTTTTCAGATATTCACTGACGCGTTTCTTACAATCTGAAAGATATGCTTGCCCTGCGCTTCGAGTTGAGAAAATTTACTTCGACTGCTACACTTTTCAATAAGGAAAATTAATATGGGGTTCAAAAGATTAAAATTGTAATATTTAGAGCAAAAGTTTGGGTCAATTAAATCGAAACAATTTTCGTTCTTCTGAGGCGGTTTTAGTGGGGGCGGTGGTGGCTTCCTCCATCTTTCAAGGATTCGACCCCCTGCCAAAGGTCAAAGGTCCCCCGCCTTTGTACTATTTTGAGATATCCATTGACTAGTTTCTTACAATCTGAAAAGTACCCTCGTCGCTTTGAGCTTCAAGTTGAAAAAAAAAAATCTTCGACTGCTAAAAAATTGATATGGGGTTGAAAAGTTTCAATTTGAAACAAATAGAGCGCGAATTTGATTTATTTAAGCCGAAATGTTTTTCGCTCTTTTGATGGGGATTTATGGGGGGGGGGGGGGGTGTTTGAAAGCCTCCTCTCCTCAGGAATTTGATACCCTGCAAAAAGCCCCACCCTTTGTACGATTTTGAGATATACAGTGACGAGTTTCTTACAATCTGAAAAAAAAATCCATGCCCTGCGATTCACGTTGAAAAAAAATATTAGACTGCTACACTACTCAATAAAAAATTAATATGGGGTTCAAGTGTTTCCAATTGAAATAATTAGAGCGCAAATTTGGGTTAATTAAACAAAATGTTTTTCGTTCTTCTGATGAAGACTTAGGGGGGGGGGGGGGTAATGGACGCCTCCTCCCCTCTTGGATTCGACCGACGCCAAAGCTCCCCCCCCCCCTTTGTACTGTTTTGAGATATCCATTGATTATTTTCTTGCAATCTGAAAGGTATCTATTTTGAGATATCCATTGACGAGTTTCTTACAATCTGAAAAGTAACCTCGCCTTGAGCTTCAAGTTGAAAAAAACTCTTCGAGTGCTAAAAAATTGACATAGGGTAAAAAATTTCAATTGGAAATAATAGAGCGCGAATTTGATTTAAATACGCCGAAATGTTTTTCGCTCTTTTGATGGGGATTTATGGGGGGGGATTGAAAGCCTGCTCTCCTCAGGAATTCAATCCCCTGCCAAAGGCCCCACCCTTTGTAGGATTTTGAGATATCCAGTGATGAGTTTCTTACAATCTGAAAAAAAATCCATGCCCTGCGATTCACGTTGAAAAAAATTATTAGACTGCTATACTACTCAATAAAAAATTAATATGGGGTTCAAATGTTTCCAGTTGAAATTATTAGAGCGGAAATCTGGGTTAATTAAACCAAATGTTTTTCGTTCTTCCGATTCAGATTTATGGGGGGGGGGGTTTGACAATTTTCTAGAAATCTGAAAAGTATCTATGCACTGCGCTTCGAGTTGAAAAAAAAACTTCGGCTGCAACACTTGTCAATAAAATTATGATTTTGGGTCAACATGATTCAATTTGAAATCATTAGAGCGCGTGTTTGGGTTAACTAAACCAAAGTGTTTTTCGTTCTATTGATGCGGATTTAAGGGTGGGGGATTACGCCTCCTCCCCTCAGGGATTCATTCTCCTGCCAACAGCCCCCTTTTGTACTGTTTTGAGAAGTCCATTGACGAGTTTCATACAATCTGAAAGGTATCCGTGCCCTGCGCTTCGATTTAAAAAAAAATACTTGGAAAACTACAATTCTCAATAAAAAAAATTAATATGAATTTCAAATGTTGCAATTTGAAATATTTGGAGCGCGAATTTGGGTGAATTAAAACGAAATGTTTGTCGTTTTTTTATGCCAATTTAAGGGTGGGGATTCAATCTTCTGCCAACAGCACCCCCTCTGTACTGTTTTGAGATATCCATTGACGAGTTTCTTACAATCTGAAGGGTATCCGTGCCATGCGCTTCGATTTGAAAAAAAAATACTTGGACTGCTACACTTCTCATTAAAAAAATTAATATTGTGTCGAACTGTTTCAATTTGATATCATTAGAGCGCGTGTTTGGGTTAACTAAACCAAAATGATTTTCGTTCTATTGGTGCGGATTTAAGGGAGGGGGATTACGCTTCCTCTCCTCACGGATTCATTCTCCAGCCAAAGGCCCCCCTTTTTACTATTTTGAGATATCTAATGACGAGTTTATTACAATCTGAAATGTATCCGTGTCCTGCGCTTCGATTTGAAAAAAAATACTTGGACTGCTACACTTCTCAATAAAAAAAACTAATATGAGGTTTAAATGTTTCAATTGGAAATGATTAGAGCGCGAGTTTGGGTGAATAAAACCGAAATGTTTTTCGTTTTTTTGTGCGGATTTAAGGGGGTTGGACGCGTACTCCCCTCAGGGCTTCGACCCCCTGCCAAAAACCTTCCATTTGTACTATTTTGAGAAATCCAGTGACGAGTTTCTTACAATCTGAAAAAAAATCCATGCCCTGCGGTTCACATTGAAAAAAATTATTAGACTGCTACACTTCTCAATAAAAAATTGATATGGGGTTCAAATGTTTCCATTTGAAATAATTAGAGCGCAAATTTGGGTTAATTAAACCAAATGTTTTTCGTTCTTCTGATGAAGATTTATGGGGAAAAATGGACGCCTCCTCCCCTCATGGACTCGCCCACTGCCAAAACACCCTCCCTTTGTACTGTTTTGAGATATCCATTGACAATTTTCTAGAAATCTGAAAAGTATCTATGCACTGCGCTTCGAGTTGAAAAAAAAACTTCGGCTGCAACACTTGTCAATAAAATTATGATTTTGGGTCAACATGATTCAATTTGAAATCATTAGAGCGCGTGTTTGGGTTAACTAAACCAAAGTGTTTTTCGTTCTATTGATGCGGATTTAAGGGTGGGGGATTACGCCTCCTCCCCTCAGGGATTCATTCTCCTGCCAACAACCCCCTTTTGTACTGTTTTGAGAAGTCCATTGACGAGTTTCATACAATCTGAAAGGTATCCGTGCCCTGCGCTTCGATTTAAAAAAAATACTTGGAAAACTACAATTCTCAATAAAAAAAATTAATATGAATTTCAAATGTTGCAATTTGAAATATTTGGAGCGCGAATTTGGGTGAATTAAAACGAAATGTTTGTCGTTTTTTTATGCCAATTTAAGGGTGGGGATTCAATCTCCTGCCAACAGCACCCCCTCTGTACTGTTTTGAGATATCCATTGACGAGTTTCTTACAATCTGAAGGGTATCCGTGCCATGCGCTTCGATTTGAAAAAAAAATACTTGGACTGCTACACTTCTCATTAAAAAAATTAATATTGTGTCGAACTGTTTCAATTTGATATCATTAGAGCGCGTGTTTGGGTTAACTAAACCAAAATGATTTTCGTTCTATTGGTGCGGATTTAAGGGAGGGGGATTACGCTTCCTCTCCTCACGGATTCATTCTCCAG